ATGATGATGGGTCAGACGTACCGAGCATTTCAACGTAGAGAACAAAACGCCACCCGCTTTATATTACACGGTCAAATACTCTAAATTCTTAGCTCCTTCATAAACCAGCCCACTAATAACTCCAAGTGAAGTACGATTAGATATGACCCAACGGAAATAATTGATCCACAACATTTGTCCTTCCAAATGTGGTGAACACCGAAGAAAATTCTTTAAGATTCAGGAACTACGATTTAAAAAAAAGGAAGATATTTTGTGAACTTTTCTAAAAAAATAAGCTTTGCCTTCAGGAGCAAAGCCATTCAGTGACAAAAAGCTGTAACATATTCCCATGACTACCGCAATCACTAACTATATGACGAACATACCCGGCAGGTCACCATGAAGTACTTCAAGCAAATAATCGACCATTTTTGTTGACAGCATCTGTGCCGCCAAGTCACCGTTGTTCCTTCGCATTAGGCATTTCAACGCATGCGCAGACTCATGCATCAAGGCTACAAGCAAAAGAAAAAATGGAGCCATAAAACATTTCTGAAAACAAAGCCAGTCAACACTTACTTGGCTGATTCTTCATGGATGTCATAATTCCTTCAATACAATTGATTCGGGAAAGAGCATCAGCACAATACTGCAATGTGGACGACATTCATTTGCAGGAGTAGATTGTGAGCAATTATTTGTTGCCAGACTTACGTGATTCTCAGCAAGCTGTTGAAGTATTAAAATAGCCGAGCGAGAAGTTTGGGGATCTCGAGCTGACATCGCCTTACTGAACTGCGGGAGATATCCTTGCGCTGGCAACTGGAAAGCATAGAAATCTGATTTTCGAAAATTATCATGCAATACGGTAGTTTCCCACCTAGAATCCGAATAATCAATCCTTACTACCTATACTGGCACTGTGACCCGTTTAATTTTATATTTGCGGCAAACCCCAATGCTCTACATACTGCCAGTACCAAAGCTCTATTTTATGCCTTTCTTAATCAATTACAAGTTCCAGGCCCACGTTCCAGACATATCGGATCTATGCCAACAAACACGCTGCGCACAGCAAATTAACACAGGCCAACCTTGACTTGACTGGTTTG